TGCTTGGTGGCCCAAGGTCGTCTTCTTTCAGAGTGAGGGCGTTTCGAGCGATGCGCAGGTTGCAACTCTCCGAAAGGGAACCGCCAGCCAGGAATTCGGACACGCGCCCGTTCGCGCCTAGAATGTATGAGGATGTCTCAGGCGGTTTGCCGAATTGGTGGCCCAGGCTCATATACCTTCAGAGCACAGTGTGAGGATGTCTCGAGCGAGGCGCAGGTTTCGGCACCCCAACGGGGCGCCGCCAGCGGTGGGGACATTCGCCAGTTCGCGCCCACATCGGTTTCTTCTTTGGTGGCCCAGGCTCGTCTTCTTACAGGGTGAGGACGCCTCGAGCGAGGTGCAAGTTTCAACTCCCCAGAGGGAAGCCTCCAGCCTGGGGTGGGGACGCGCGCCCGTTCGCGCCCAGAATGTGGGGATGTCGCAGGCGGTTTGCCTGGCACATTGTAAGGATGTCTGGCGAGGCGTAGGTTTCAGCATCCTAAAGGGGAGCCGCCAGGGGTGGGAGACTCCCCCGTTCCCGCTCAGATTGCTTGGATGCCTCAAGCAGACATGCCCCTCCATGGCTTTCAGCCGCGTTCGTGCTCACTTCTCATCCACGCCCACTGATTCCTCCTCGGCACCTTGCTTGCTCCATCCTGGGCATTCCCGTCCAGTCTCCAAGTCGTGGCGACAGGTCTGGTCACAGCTTGTCTGCCACGACCATCGTTGACCATCGCTGATGTCGCCTCGTCGCCGTCGTTCTCGCCGCACCCGTCGTCTATTCGGAATCGCTCTGGCACCCAGATGCTCACAGACATACTCCCAGCGAGACGTGCCAGGAAAGTTCTGTGCACACTAATGGGGGATCCCCGTGTTGAGCGATGTTCCTCTGACGCGTATCGGTCATGACCCGCCTCCCTCCTCGGGAACTCGGGGCACGGTGACGATCGTACGTGGTGGGCGTGGAGGGAGTGGGCTGAACCCCTTCCCACACATGCCGGTGCTCGCGCGCATATTGTGGCGATCGCAACGCCCCCCCCGCCCCGACGTGTCTCATTCCGCCCAAGCGCTACCGTTACCCAGTGCCCCAGCCCCCCACCCCTCCCGGGTAACGGCTGTTGTCAGAAATCAAAGAAATATTGTTTTACGTTTCGCGAATCCCACCAGCCCATTCAGAAGCCCTGCCCATGAGAGTTGACGGAAAAAGGGACGAAGAGACACATATAGTGAAACAGAGCGTGCAAGGAAAGGAGAGGAAGGAGGGTGTTGAGCCATTTTGGAGGCTATCTTGGAGCATCGGAGGCATTCTTGGAGCTACGCGGCTGAATTGGGAGATGTTGGGGTCCTCTGGGGCAGTTTTCGGGGCCTCTTCGGCTCTTCTCGGAGCTTTCTTGGGCCATCTTAGGGCCATCTTGAGGCAGCAAAAGCGCATCGGAAGCGAAAAAGCGAGAAGGCAAACATCAGTGACTTTCCTTTGGCGTTTGAAGGATTTGGGCTTCTCGGGGAGGTCCTAAGGAGTTATCAAAACACCTGGAACCGTCTTGTGGCCTTCTTGGGGCCTCTTGGAGGCATGTTGTTAGTGTTAGTTAGCCATGTTGGGCTATCTTGAGCGATCTTGGAGGCCATCTTGGGCTCTCTGAGGCCCTCTTGGAGCCATCTTAGGTTATCTTGGACGCTCTGACCGCTAGCGAAACCCTCCTTCCAGGTCCAGGGGAGGGCATATGGGGGAGGGGTCAAGCTACCCACCCTCCCGCAAGCCGCCTAGGCTAGCTCACTCCCACCCGCCCTCCCTAAACGTAAGTAACACCCGAGCCTGAGCACGTTCAGCGGTCGGCTTTGGATGGACAGCTACTGGGAACCAAAGCCGACCCCAGGTGCGCGACGCTTGGGCGAGGTGCGCCACGCGTGCCAAGGGCGCCACGCGCGCCAGGCACCCCTGGGGCCCGAGCGTGCCAGGCAAGCCTGGTGCGCCAGATGCGCCACGTGCTTCGAGTGCGCCAGGTGTGCCGCACACTCCAGCCGCGCCAGGTGCGCCGCGTTCGGGGCACGTGACGAGTGCGTCAGGTGCGCCTGCGCACGTGGCAGCACACATCGGGGAAAATGTCGGCCCCCGCCATCCTTGTCGAAAACCGATGCCCATCATTGTGTCTAATGGGCCTGTGCACAGCAGGCCACGCGCCACCAACCCCGCCGTCACTGTCAAAAACCGCTTGAGAGTGATCGCGGGATGGCCGCGCACGATCCAGATTTAGCCGCGGGGTGCCTGTTGTATTGTTTTTTGTGTGTCAGGGATGGAAGCTTTGCGCACAGCAGGGAACATGCTGACACTCCCGCCGTCCTTGTCAAAACCAATACAAAATGCTCGCGGGCCTCACGAACATGACTCAAGACTTTGCCCCAAAGTATACTTTGCATAGTTTTGACAGGGATGGAGGGGGCTGCGCGTTGGGTTGGCCGCGCATGCTCCAAATGTGGAGGCAGAGTGCGGTTTGTTTGTTTTTTGTCAGGGATGGTGGGGGGG